AATCCTAGTTCATTTTCCCCTGAAACCAACTTTCTTACAAGTTGAAAAGAAAAAACCATGAAACATGGTGCTAAGCTTTCTTATTATCTAGCGTATAGAGCACATTATCTCCCCACTTCCCATAAGATGTCTACTATTTTATTGCCATCATGGATATTGGAAGAATTTGTCTCCCACCTAGGAGAGCATATTGTGTTTTTCCAACTACGAAGCTCACCGCTTACTCAACCTTCTGACAAGAACCTTCATGGTAAGTTTGTATATACTACCCACCAAACTAATCAACCTAAAGTCTCTCAAATTTGTACCCTTCTCAATTTAGGAATAGGAAATAAGGAAGTAGCATTTTGATTCCTCACAAATTTGCTTACTGGAAAGAATTCCCAACAGATATCCATAACTTCAGTTTTTATCACACTCCAAAATCTCTGTAAGAGGGCCATTGGGGGACCATCAGGTCCAATAGCTTTATCACCATAGCAAGAAAAAAAACTGCATATCTGCTTTATTCCTTTATGAAAGGGACCTCTAGAGAACATTTCTTAGTGGCATTTAGGCAGACTCCAAACCATCAAGCTTTGACCACCAATGCATATGCTCAATTCATATAAAGGTCTTGGTAACAGGCGATCTCGTGTTGGAAGTGTCTTTAACTAACTTGTTACCAAGTATCAACTTGGGAATAAAATTGTTCCTCCGATTTACTGAAGCCAACATGTGAAACAATTTTGGTATGTAATAATTGCCAAATCATCATCAAACTTTTCTAAGCTCCTAAAGAGCTTATAAGTCTTCTTCGACCAAAATAAAAGCAAAACCGAACGCCCTGTAAATTGAATTCTTTTAACCAGTTTTCTCCAAAGATTATTATGCTTCTAGGAAAACTATAAGAAAATGTAAATCAATTATCCTTCCATTTCTACTAGGAGTTTTGTTGATAAAATGAAATTTTCTAGTAGTAATCATCAGTAACATGGAAAACTGCATCTTGAGATGACCATATATTATATCTTTGTTTTCTATCATCAGGTAATTTCTCTTTCTACAAGCCCTTATTCCAAATAAAAAAATCTCCTCTTGTTAGAAGTTGTCTGTTCTTCTGTTGCCACATTGTGAAACACAGTTATATGAAAAAGCACCTGTGAGGTTCTGGATGACATTGGTATGCGGTTTTCTAGTTATGGATTCTGAGTATTTTCATTTTTTAGCCTTGCAGTTGTTCTTGCCTAGTATTTGTCATTTAGTGGTTGTAAATTCCTCTCATGCTTCTGTTTTGTAGAGAATTACATGGCCAGATTTTCTGTGCAAAGTCTGAAGAGATATCCTTGGCTGATTTGTGTGAATTTGATGAATCAAAACTATTAGAAATCTGATCATCTAGGAAAATTCATTCAGAATCTAAATTAAATAATCATCACTTATAGTTTGAAACCTTTTATGTAGAAAACTATTAGTCTGAAGCTATACTGAATTTTGCAGAATTACGTGGCTGGAAATCCTGCTCCTGTGCTGTACATTAAGAACCTGGCAAAAGATGTTGTTCCTGATGATTTCTGCTATATATTTGGTGAGAGAAAAATTACTGATACTTGCTGTATCCAATTCCTGTCTTCTACAATGTGATTTACTATTTTAGCAACTCAAGCTTTTCTAAAGTTCATAAAAGAACGTAAAAGAATGGTGTTCTTAATTATATAGATAGAAAAAAGTTTATTTACATGTTTGTTGTGAATGAAGCAATGATGTTTATATTACTTCAATTATTCTACTAAAGGGAGTTTAGACTGATAGTATAGTTCTTCTAACATGCTGCAGGATCAGTATTTGGAAGCAATGATGCAGCTAAATCTGGTATAAGCGTGAAGTTAATGCAGGTGAATTTCTCCAGCATCACTTTGTGACTAATGCAAGTGATGGATGATGAAGTTAATTGCAAATATGTCACTTCTTGTCTAGATGATAAAGTTTATTTTGCATATATGTGCAAATTCTACTTTCAATTTTACTGTCTTTTTAAACATATATTGAGGACATGGTATCTATCTTCTTCAATAACCACCATGTTTTCGAACTTTATGATTAGAGATCTTGGTTTCAAGAGTATGTTTGGAAAGAAAAGATCTGTTGGCATAGTGACAAAACATAATGACTGTACCTGCAGAACTCTTGTATGTTATCGTCATAAGAATATCTAGCCTTTGGCTAGTAGACTGTTGTTTTGTCTTAGAGCACTGCAGGACATGATGTCATGATGGCCCCCACTGTTAGAAAGTGAATGTCAGTTGGGGACAGTATCTCAATATTTCAATTGACCAAAATTAGATATAACCAATGCTTCTTTTTGGATTTCAGGAGGGAAGAATGAGGGGCCAAGCCTTTGTGACATTTCCATCAGTTGAACTTGCTCAGCATGCTTTGGTATGAGTCCTATAGCCAGCTTTTTTATGTCCTAAATATCTGTTTCTATTATTTGTTTTGCATGACATGTTAATTGTTAAAATGCTATCCTTTTCTTCCTTACCAATTTACCAATTTTTAAAAAGAAGTTATACCTTAAAACATTTAAATCTTTCTGCGGATGTTTTCAGTTTCTATTCTTTTCTATACTGATTCCATTTAACCAAAATCTTGTTTAAATATCAAATTAGATTGCGAATATTTGCTTGTTATGTTCATCCAGATTCTAATTTAATACATCTTAGTACTGCTTTAGACCAAAAACAGCTGCAGAAGGTTTGTCTCTTTGTTTCATGGCTGTAAAATTGGAACAAGTTGCTAACTTAGAAACGGATTTTGACTCGTTTAATTAAAAACCACAAAAGCAACTCTGGTATATGATAAAGAGGAGATTTGACTTCGATTTTCTATAAAGATTAAGAAGTATGTTTCTTTCAAATTTAAGTGTAGGTTTTCTTTATTTAAGTTTCACAAATAGTATAAGAAATACTACGTGATATTTATAGGGGTACCTTTGATAAGAAATAGCACCTAACTGTATAAGACACTGACCAAATAGAAAAAGATTATATGAGAAATATCCTATTATTCTCTAATAGAGTGTGTAGGAATACTCTTAATTTTCTAAATGTTCCAACAATTTTATTAAAGAAATCTTTTTATCACCAAAATTAAAAGAAATTAAGGTTCAATAGATTCCAAATCTAGAAACAAAATGCAAGCCAAAAGGTAAAGAAGTAGCAATACTTATATTTCTTCCATATAACTTCAAAACTTCCAAGTTATAATGTAAAAGGGCCTCTTAACCAACGAAATTAATTTAATTTGCTTGCATATTTAATATATATATAAAATGTAATAATTTATATGCGATGAGTCATTTTGGTTTAGTTGATTTTCAAAACCCACAAACTGAAAATGGAACCAAATAAGTGGTTTTGATTACTAAAACCAAACAGAGATTAGAACCAAAACACAACAACTGAATAGCTGGTCTGTTTTAGTTCGGCAAATGTAAACCAAATTATTGTACAGTTCTACTACACAAGCATGCACTATATGAACTATGATCAAAGCGAAGATATATCTTTGTTTCTGTTTTGCGTTTATGGTTTTTACATTATTTGAAACAAAAAACAACCTAATCCTGAGAAATACCAAATTGTTGCAAGGTGAACTTCTTGATTACTTGAAAAAAAATATGAAAATCTTCTTCTGTTATCTGTTCCTGAAAAAGCATCATCTTGTGTTCTCTCAACTTTCCCCCGAAACGGAATATCTTTTAACATGCAATCAGAACTGTTTTTTCCAGAATCTAGTGAATGGTTATGTGTTCAAAGGTAAACCGATGATCATCCAGTTTGGTCGGAATCCTGCAGCTGCTAAAGCAAACTAAAATTGTTTCTGCTACATCAACAGAAGCCCTTTTTCCTGCCACTCTCATGGTTTGTTCTTTTGTGTATTCTTTTCCATTTATATTCTTAAGCAAGCTGGACTTAGATTTGCGAATTACACAAGATCTGACTGTTGATTTGAATATTCTTATTGAGAAACTGATTTTTGTAAAATTGCTTATGAAAATGGGCTCACTCTGAGTTTAAACTCTAATATCTATTAGTGATTAGCTGCTGACCCTTCCTGCATCAACAATTTTTTGGCGCAAAGAACTGGCGCATCGGCCTAAAAAAGGCAGGAATTGAGTGGAGTGTCATCGTATTGACCCATGTTTACCTACCGAGATTTTGTGGCCGTGGAAGCTGGAGGTTTCGACGATACATATATTTGCATGGTGTACTACGATATGTATCCGCGGTGTTGATAACTTGGGTTTTGTGAATGTAATCTTTACATTAATGATCACTTTCAGTATTTCAGAAAAAGCATGTAGCAAAACTGTGATGGGAGGTTACCAGGAGGGGGCAATGTTTTCCCAACATTGCTGGTTCCGAAGCAGTTTATTTCCACATGCTTCCCATTGCTTGAAGGGGATTCGATAAAGTTGAAAGGACCCGAAAAATTAGTACGGTTC